CTAGGAGCATCCTTGTGACTTTGGATTAGAAAAGAAAGATAGCGAGAGAGATAAGTGTGATCCATAAAATTGAAAATTGATGTATTAGATTTCATCCAAATTTTGAACTTCTCTTTGTAAGATATCGCTCAAAGAAAAACTGCATACTCACTGGGAGAAAATATTTGCAAATCACATCTCTGAAAAAAAATGACTTGTACTGGAATATATACAGAATTCTCAAAACTCAATAAGAAAACAACCCAATAAAACAGTGGACGAAAGATTCCAACAGACACGTCACTAACAAAGATAAACAAACTTTGTACAAACAATATACCCAACACTGTTGGTAGTTAGGGAACTGCAAATTAACCCGCATTAGATGACTGGGGTGTGGTGCACACCTGGCTGATGTGGAACACATCTATGGTGCCAGGGCTTGGCCAGGATGTGGAGCACCTGACTCTCGGACACTACTGATGGGAACAGAGAATGAGAAACAGGTTGTCAGTTTCTTAAAAAGTTAAATATGCACCTACCATATGGCCCAGCTAACCCATTCCTGGGAATCTACCCCAAAGAAATGAGACCAGATGTCCACACACAAAGATGACCACAGATGGTCACAGCAGCTTTGTTCTGAGAGCCCAAAGCTGGAAACAGCCCCTGGTAGTCGCCTGGTGGATGAAATGAACAAACTCTGGTGTACTCACCTACAGAAACCCACAGTCCAGAGGAGCAAACCATTGATAAACACGTCAAGGGGTGGGTTTCCAAATCCTTGCACTGAGTGAAAAAAATCCCACAGGAACAGCCGGGTGCTGACAGCCACGGGCACGATCCACACGGCACCTTTAGTAACACAAACCAGCTGCTAGACCACTGGTTTGCAGCTGTCCACCTGGGAAAGGCTTTTTCCAAAGCCTCAGTAGAGCAAGAGGAACCCAGCAGGCAGCAGGCAGCAGGCAGCCGCCCACAGGCCTGCACTACTCCTGGGCCCAGCCTCACCCGGCTATGCCCACTGCTCTGTGCCGTCTTTCACTCTTAGAGAGGATGGGATGGTAATTCACCTCCTTTGAAGCCAGCCCGCCTCTTCTGCCACCTTCCATAATGCGGTCCAGAGGGTCTCTGGATCATCTTCAAACTCCCCGCCTACCACTTGGTCCACTGCACTCAACAGCACAGTGAGTGGGAAAGGCCCTGGGGAGTGGGTAGCTCCCTCTACCTCCGCACACCTTGCACAGAAGGGGGTGCGCAATGTGGAATCCTGGGTCCTGACGGGTCAGTGAGTACCAGGCCAGTGGGTAGGCCGCGCTGCCATGCCCTAGGCAGCAGAAGGTGTTGCTCCCCGTGTCACTCCTGGAAGTCCCCTGACAGGTGGGTGCCCGCCTCCCCGCCTGCCTGAACTCTGCAGGCCATTCACACCTGCCACCTTCCCCGCGGTCTGTCCTTGGGAGTGGAGCCCCTGGCCCAGGGGGCTATGAAGTCAAGTCCTCCTGGCCCAGATGGCCCACCGCCCATGGCCCACGGCACAGGAGTCCAGACGGCTCCCTCTCTGGAAGCGGGCAGCAGCTCCACTTCAGCCTGGGCCCCGGGTGGGGCTGCCACCCTGTGAGGCAGCTAGCCCTCCGTGCTCCTGGCACCCAGCGTCCTTCTCCCTCCCAAGCCCAAGGTAGCAGGTGGCTCTGCCTAAGGATAAAAATGCCCCTTAGACCTGGAAGTCATGGCTGCTTCCTCCCTCTGCGTCCGCTAAGTCCCTGGGAATAGGGTGTGGACACAAAGCAGGCCTGCCTCACCAATGACTCACACAACAGCCACCAAGGAAAGCGGAAGCCAACGGTCAGCTCCGTGGTCCATCAATTTAAACACAGTCGAATATTCTCTAACTGTATCTTCTTGTGCTCCCTGCTCCATGAGGTGTCCCTGGGTTTGTCCCTGTGGAACTACACGGACCCTCCATACCTTCCCCAGCATCGTACTCATCCCAGGGAGGCGGTGAGAGAGACCTCAGGCCCCATCACAGCGCCCAGGGGACTTTAATGTGAAGCTACAGCTCTACAGAATTCATCTGAATCCTGCTGCTTCAAAGATGGCACCTGAAGGACACAGCTTTCTAGACCACTGTATCGATCAGAATTCTCCAGAAAAAAAGAGCTAAGTAGCATTTAAAAAAAATCAGTGCTGGGGATTGACCCAGGACCTTGCATATTCTAGGAAAGTACTTCCTGCCCATTGGGGCATAGTTATATATGTATATATTAAAGACAATGTTGTACCTGCCTATGATCCCTGCAATAGAGAGGCAGAGACAGGAGGATCATTAATTTGAGGCCATCTTCCATAATGCTGTCCAGAAGGGTCTCCGCCCTTCTGGAGGGGGGAGACCCCATCACAAAAAAAAATGAAGAGAGCCGTTCCTTGTAACAAGTCTCTTTATGTTTAGGAAACCACACACAAAGAAGAGACTGCACATAAGAACTGGCTCAGGAGCCATGGAGGGACAGTCCCAGGATCTGCCATGACAAGACGGGGCCAAGGAGAGTCGGTGATGTAAACTCCAGTTCATGTCCAGAGGCCAGCAACCCAGGGAGCCTGGTCAAGTTCTAGTCCTGGGCCAAGTGCAGAGGCAGGAGGCAACCTGTCCCAGCTGTGTTGGTCAGCTCCTAGTCACTGTGACCAGAATACCTGGAAGAACACCTGAGAGGGGGAAAGTCTCTTCTGGCCCAGGCCCTCAGAAGTTCAGTGCACGGTTGGCCCTCCATTGCTCTGGGCCAAGGTGAGGCAGCACGTCATGGAGGAGGAGGGCTGCTCCACTCACAGGGGCCAGGAAGCAGAGAGAGAAGGGGAAGGGCCACAGGGAAGATGTCCCCTCACACACACACCTGGGACCCATCTCTTCAGCCACATCCCCCCTGCCTGCAGTTCTACCCAGTCAGTCCATTCACACCCTGAGGTCACTGCTCTCGTGATCCAATCGTTCTATCTTGGAGTACTCCTGCGTTCACAGGAGCTTTGTGTAAACCGTAACAGGCCTATCCAGACCAAGTCAGGCAAAGAGAGGGAATCCTTATCAGCTGTTGGCTGCAGTCAGGCGTTCGGCTGATCGGGCAAGACCCACCCACCTCAGGCAGGGCATCTGCTCTGCTCAATTTGTCTATCTGAATGTCCATCTCTTTTGGAAAGCCCTCACAGGCACACCAGAATACTATCCACCAAATATTGGCAGCCCAGACAAGTGGACACATGACAATGACCATCACTCTCTGCTCCTTTGCAATGTCCAGGCCCCAAGGAGAGCTTGGACGGTTTGACATCGGGAACTCTCAGTGACTTGTGCTTCTCGAGGCACAAGTCACCGAGAGCCCCCGATGTCAGTGCCTAGGGTCCTCCTCCATGGTCCAGCTGGGACCATATGGTCCTCAGGAGCCTCTGGCCAGTGCCTGAGTGCGGCAGGGTGCTGGGGCAGCCCTGTTTCACCCGTGTGGGACCCCCTACCGTGTACGATCTCTGCTCCAGAGCCCCCTGGGCTCAGCAGGGACCCGGAGACCTGGCTCAGCCTGATGTTCCCCCTGCCCAGCCCAGCTTCCTCCCGTTTCTGCTCACATAGGGGTCAGCTCCTATCAGAGTGGGGCCTGACCCTCAAAACCCTGCTTTCCTCCTCCTCTGCCCAGACGTGTGCTCCAGAGAGCCCCAGCCCTTCAGCCCAGTGCCATTTCCTGGGGAGCCATCCCTGGTTCCCTGCACACCGTGACAAATAGGAGTGGGATCAGCACATCAGACCCCTCCCTCTGCTCCGAGTCCAGTGCCACCCCCAGGTGGAGAGAGGGGGTCTCTCCCCCAGCGCCCGGTGCCCCCGGGACCATGAGCAGCCTCAGGAGCTCCAGGGTTGGAATCCTGAACCCCTCCTTACTCCTGGTGGTAGCCACACCCAGTCTCCCGAGCGCAGCCCAGTCTGGCAGCTGCGCTACCTCAGGAAACACGACAGGGGTCTTACAGAGGACCCCAGATCTGGCTCTGGGGCTGCAGGACCTGCCACACGGGTGGCTGAATGTTTTCCGTGTCACCTGATGGTGAGGGTGCAGTGCTGCCGCTGCTGCCCACCATCCCTAGCAGGTCCCCAGGCCCACCAGCCTCCAATGGACAAGATTCTGAACTGCGTTCACGTAGCCTCCCTCCTCTGCAGCGCCTTCCAGGACCCCAGAGAGCCTGCTGGCTGCAGAGCCTCCCTGGGCAGCAGCACACGGGGAGGAGTCTGCTCAGGCCACCACGTCTGCAGACCACAGCTGGGCTGGGCCTGAGAGACGGGCACTGACCTGCTTCTGCCCGGGGCCACTGCAGGGTCCCTGGCAGGACAGTTCCTGGGCCCTCCTCTGCCCAGCTCCACAATAACCTTCCTGTCCTTCTTCCTGTCCCACACCCTCAACACATCCAACCCCCAAAAGTCCTAGAGGAGGGGCCAGTGGGCTTTCTGGGACCCTAAAATGGGAGCCCTTCCCTACACTCACCACCACCAGAACAGAGGGATTTCCCCAATGGTGGATACCATCCCATGGTCCCCCCACAGGAAGTCAACGCTGGCAGACCAGGTCGGAGCCTGGTGGGAGTCACAGCCAGGAGGGAGGGACTTCCCGGGATTCTGTGCGCTGGTCTGGTGCACAGGATGAGTCGCACTGTTTACTGCACATCTTATTGAAGCCACCACCACTCTGGAGATGCACGCTCCCAGGGGTCAAGCCGCTCCTGTTCAGGAGCTACCCAGGAGGCTCCTTCTTGTCCCTGGCAGGGATGTCCGGCTGCAGCTGACGGCTGGCCCTGCCCAATCCCCCCAGGCCTCAGCACCTCACAGTGCGGGACACTGAGTGTGAGGCTGCGTGGTAGCCTTGGAAAGGGAGCCTCGGCCACCCCGTTGGCCTACACATTCGTGATGAGCAGTGAATTCAAGAGTGAGCCTTCCGTGTTCTCCACCCCTCCTGAGATGAGCCACAGCAGGCCTAAGGCCACGCACAGTAAGGCACAACTTCAAAAAATACCTTTATTCTTTCCCACGGGATGGCTCCACACACACCCCAGGAGAGGTCACCCGCTGCGCGTCCCAAGCACCACTTTCTGCCACTTTCCTTCCTCTCTGTGCACGTCAGTCAACTGCTTCGGCTTCTTCAGCTTCTGAGAGTGTCACTGTCCCTGGATGGAAAAAAGAAACAGTTCTGTGCCTCAGAATGTCTGGCCGCCCCAGAGGCTTGCCAGGGGTATAGAGCACATCTCCTCAGCAGCCACTGGGCAATTCTTTACTCAAATGCCCACCAGCAGGTGGCCTGCGCTGCCCACTGGGCAGAAGCCTCTGCCTACGGCCGGGGAAGGGTCTGCATCCCTGGGGAGGTGGGCATGTGTCCTGTAGAGCAGCCACAGGCCCAGCGTGGTGCTGGGCAGGGCAGGCGGGAGGTCTCGGTCAAGCCACGTGGGCAACTGGGGGAGAAGACTGCACACCTCACTCCACAGGAGGCCATGATTTGGGACACCCCTTCTCTAAAGTGCCAGGCTGCCAACCTGTGGAAACGGACACGCAGCCACACAGGCCTCCTGAGAGTCAGCAACAGGCACGTGGCTGCCTCCCGGAAACCTGGGCTGGTGGTGGCCACAGTCCGCACCAAGGGCGGCCACTTGGCTCTGCAGTGCCCCCGGGCACCCTGGACCCCGCAGGTACGCCGGGCCCTGCCCAGCGCCTCACTCTGCCACGGCCACCTGCCGTGCTGGCGGCCAGAGCGAGGGGCGCAGAGGAGGACAGTGCCCGCTGTGGAGGCCACTCCAGCCCGAGTGGCCGACGCAACGCTGCCCCACTCATAACCGTGGGGCGCTGAGGCGTCCCCAGAGTGGCCTGGGAGGCGGGCTGGGGGTGCGGGCTGTGGGCTGCGGGGTGCCCCCGCTGGGCGCCTACCTTCCCCCTCCTGGGGCTCGTTCTCCCCGCTCTTCCGGGAGGTCTCGCTTTTCGAGGCCTTCGTGGCTGTCTCCCCACCTTGGCCATCGTCACCACCAGCCGTGCCCTCCTCGGAGCTCCTCATTCTCCTGACCTCTTGGACAATTCTGATGGGAAGAGTTTGGTCACAGCCAGAGGAGGGAGGGATGGAAGCGGCCCCTCCTCACACGGCGCCCGGTGGAGCACGGGGGACCGCCGCGAGGCCTGGCCGCGGCCAGTGTTTTGGCTCTAATGAGTGCTTCAACGGAAGGCTTGAGCGCGGCCTCCAGACTCCCAGACAAGCCGGCAGGGAGGAGGCGGACGTCGGGCAGCGGGCACTGTCAGGTCCTCTGCGCCAGAGGCCCGCAGCTCCACTCGCCTGTGAGAGCCTCTGCTGCCGCTCTGCTGGACCAGGCAGCCAGCCTCCCAGGGCTGGCGCGGGCGTCCCAGAGGGCTGTGGCAGCAGGGGCAGGGCCCCGGGAGAGTGCTCAGTGCCAGTGCTCAGTGCTCTGCCCGCCCACAGAGCACAGCAGCCCTGCACCCCCTCCACAGAGATGGGAGGAGGGACTCTCACACACACACACGTCCCACAGACAGGAGGCACGCCATGGGACAGACACTTGGTCCAGGGGGTTCAGTGCATGCACCAGCCCCGGAGACAACAGGGGCCCAGTCTATCCCCACTGACCCCCTGGTGCAAACCACAGGACCTCCCTGGTGGGAGGATAAGGGTCCCAGAGGGGGACAGTCCTGGCTGCAGAGGCTGGGAGGGAACACACGGGAGGTGGAGTACCTGGAGTCCTAGGTGCCCTCTAGGTGCTGGATGTCACCTGTGTCAACAGGAGCTCTAGAGGACACCAGGGGAGTGGGTGGGAGAGGGAGCCAGCCCGAGAGGCACCCCAGACATCCTGTCCATCCCCATGAAAGACACACAAGACTCACTTGTAAATAACGGCAGCGATGAAGGCGACAGCGATGATCACAATCAAGGTAGAGAATGCCTGCACATACGCTGCAAAACAAGCGCAGGTGAGCGTGCGGCCTGGGGCCACCGTGGCCACCACAGGGAGTGTGGGCAGAGCATCCGGGCCCAGCTGGCGAACAGCCAGTCCTGGGCAGAACGCTCAGGCCCAAGTTACTTAAGAAACAGTCCTTGATACAGCATCCGGATCCAGTGGGTTCAAAAGGAGCCCAGCAGAGCATCCCAGCAAGGGTTAAAGACCGGAAAGGTGGCCCACAGCCCAGAGCGGCCACAGGCCTCAGGACTGTGCTCCCCTGCTGCTCCCATCAGCCCTCTGCTCCAGGGCTCAGGCCTGAGGCAGACTGAAGGCTTTGCCCGCTGGGTGCCTGTAGCCCTGACACCCACAGGATGCCCCCTGCAGTCATGTCCTACAAGCAGGTAGGACTCCCCGTGCTTCAAACCTGCTACCTTCTCTTCATCAGGGTGAAGTGAGGGTTCTTGAAAGATCACTGCAGATGAAGTTCTTAGCATGGTGGGTGGCAGGCGGCTGTGCATAGCAATCTCCATTGTTATTATTCTCATTACCACTCATTCTCTAATTGCTTTTTCCCTCTCTCAAGGGAAAGAAATTGGCTCACTCACAAATGCCTAACTCAAGTGACAGATTTGCTCCAACCCCTCACCAGTTACTCTGAGTTGTTTCTGAGTGTCCCTGACAGGAGTAAATAAGGCCAACAGATGTGACTTCCCTGGAAGGTGCATTAGTTTCCAAGGCTGCCCTGAGAAAGTACAGCTCACAAGTCTTAAAACAACAGGAGCGTACTGTGGCCCTGCCCAGGAGGCCCCCCCACTGAGGCGTAGGCCTGGCAGGGCCGCCTTCTCTCAAGGGCCCAGGGACGCCTGTCCTTGCTTCTTCAGGGCTCTGTGAGGTTGCCGGTCGTCTTTGGCATTCCTATTCTGTAGCTGCACCACACCTGTCTCTTCCTAGGACGCCAGTCATGTTGGATTAGAGGCCTGCTCCAGGGTGACCTCATCTCAACTAATCGCATCCACAAAGATCCTCTTTCCAAATAAGATCACAGTCACAGGTCCCAGGAATTTGGATCTCAACGTCGGCTTTGTGTGGACACACTCGGTCCACAGAAGGTGAGCCACAGTGGCAGAAAAGCTGCCTCCCCGGCAGGTGATCTGAATTCCAGCGGCTCCACAACCCCTTGACAGCTTCACAGAAATGGATGAGGCCCCAGGGAGCCTTTAGGTGGGGACTGAAGTCAGAAAGCTGAAGGGGGTTAAAACCAACCTACTAGGGATGGCAGCCCAGAGCCTTGATCCCCCTCATGTGGGCGTGACCTCAGTCAGCAATGGGTAGGTATACAGCAGGTGCTCAATGACTGAGAGGTCATCAGGGAGAGGGTGAGGAGAGAACGAGACTTGGAGTCATGTGGTTGTTGGCTAACAGGATCCAACGCTGGGCAGTGGACAATTAGGAGGCTATCTGTGCAGACTCAGCCCCGTCAGTCGGTTTATCCCTTTAAATAAAGGCCTTTCTCGGGAATTTGCCTGTGGATCTCCAGCTACTCAATCAGCTTGGCCTCCAGTGCGCACATCTCCCAGTCTTCACACCCCAGAGAAATGTCCTCCCCTGACCAAGGCTGTCCTCTGACTCCAGGAGCCCTGTGGAGGGGAGCTTCGGAAGCTGGCCAGGAAGATCCCACAGCATCCGCCCTGCTTCCTTAAAGCCTGGAGAAAGACAGTGGTCAGGCCATGAGCACTCAAGTGGCCTTCATGACCAGGAAAAGGGGATCGCTGTGACACTCTGACACCCGGACCACCACCAGCAGAGCCAGTCTTCCTGGAAATAACCTCCACCCCCATCAAGCAGCAAGGCATACAGCCTGGGGGCATCCTGAGGCAGTCTCCCTACAAACCAAGTGCTGTGAGCCAATCGTCAGCCGGCAGCTGGAAGTTTGCTGGGGCCCCTTCGGCTCATTGGACTGTTTCCCTGCCCTTTCAGACCACGGAGCTCCAAGTGCGGGTTCACCAGACACCAGGTGCTGTGATGGATCTCTCAGAAGTAATAGCCACTGAAGAACAATCATTCTCTTGAAGGAATATCTCGGGAACTTTCCCCAAATACAGTTAAACAAGAGTTTTGAAATCATCCCAGCAAGTCCAACACCTGCAGTCAAGGTCCTGAAGTCAAACACTTAGGAGAAATGTCACATTAAATAATGGGCCCCACATCAAGACTGAAGAATGAAGGAAGCCTTTCTCTTTGAATCCCCAGTTCTTTCTGAGAGATCTAATGCTAATTCCCCCAAGTTCGTATTTTTAATAATACAGATTATGCCATAGCACAATGTGCACTTCAAACCAGCCAATTTAAGAAGTTGGTGAAAGGTTTTCATAACATGGAATTATGTGCACAAAGAACTCATAATACCCTGTCACTGAATACTACAACTTACCCAGCACAAAGGTTCAGTCGCCGTCTTGAATGAGAAAGGTGTCAAAGAAATGAAAAATAATTTGAGGGCACAGTGAGAACCCAAGTGCAGGGCCCACTGCCCAGACTCTTCCCACAGATGGCCCACCCTCCACTGGAGAGACAGCAGAGCTGAGAGAAAGCACGGCCCACACGACCTTTATTACAAGTGGAAGGGTGGAAGGAGGCTAGGACCTGCTCCCCTGCAAAAATGATGCACCCACTTGCAAAAAAGGGGCCCTCTTGAGCACAAATTCCTGAGAGCCTAAGCTGTTTTCTGAGTTCGTTAAGGACACCAGCAACTAGGTGCAGCAGAAGACACAGTTCACCTTTCCACAGAGTGATAGCTACCCGGTGATCTTTCTGATTCAAGCCATGTGGGACACAACATTCACAAAATGATCAACATCTGCATGAAACGCAGATGAAGAAACAGGCTGAGACAGATTAAAGAGCAGCGGCAGCTCGGATTGTGCGTCCCTGCTGGCGGGGACCTGCCTCACACGGGCATTCTATCACACTAGGGGCTCCCTGCTTCATCAGGATGTCAGGGAATGGGATAATCAGTTGTCAAAGGTACGAGCTGCTCTGTGACTCAACCTGGGAACCGAACATCTTCCGTATCTTTATTCGGAGAAGGGTTGGGGCTAAAAGAACAAACCTGATACCTCTAGGATGTCCCTGTTTTTACTTTGAGAGCTCCAAGTGGTGAATCTCAGAAAACCTAAGCTGCATAAGCATCCAGGACTCTGGAATCCTACAGGAAGCACAGAAAATGGTGGAAGGAGGCAGCTAGATTCCACCCACCTGCTGCTCCTCACATGTTGAGGCGGGAACATCAGACCAACAAGGCCACAAACTACAAAAGATGACAAGTGAAATGCAGCCGATTATCCAGAACCCCACTGGAGCCACAGACCCAGCCTCAGGAGCGCCTGCCACATGCTCCAGAGAACATATATTGGGAGGCCAGGACTCAGGAAGTTCCCCCCATTGGCTAGAGCTGGAGAACACCATGCTAAGTGAAATAAGCCAGACCCAGAAAATCAAGGGTGGACTGTCTTCTCTCATATCTGGAAGTTAGAGTAAAATAAGTGAGGAAATGGGGGGGGGGGGGGCAGACAGCATAAATATATAGGGAAGATCAGTGGTGTAGAGGAGGAGATGGAGAGGGCGGGAGGAGGACTGGAAGGGGGTGCTAAGGACTGAAATGGAGCAGATCAAATTCTATGCATGTATGATTTTATCAAAACGAACCCAACTATTATGTACGACTATAATGCCCTCATAAAAGAAAAAAGGAAAAGGTCTCCCACGTACGCCCCTGGCTAAAGGTGGAGGCCCTGAGTCAAGGCAGGTGGAGAAGGATGGTTCCTCCAGGAAGTAGAGCTACACCTGGGCCTCGCCCTCAGAGGTTCAGCCGGGCCAGCTAACTTTCAGGATGGGATCCACATTGCTGGCAGAGCAAGGAACACCACCAGTCCTTCCTCCACAGCAGCAAGGAGAAGACTGGCACACACTTTTGCAGAAGCCTGGACATTAGCCACAAGCTTGCAGAAACCTGTTTGCTACAAATGAACAGCTGAATCGCTGAGAGAACAGCAAGCTTTGAGCATTTAAACTTGCCTGTTCCCGCCTCTCCTGCCCACTCTCTAGTATCATGGTGGCCTTGAAAATCAACTGTACAGCAGCCACTGGAGGGCAGAGCAGGGTCAGGGCCCTCCAAAGTCCCGCTGCCAGAGGACAGCCTTCACTGGATCTGTCTGACGCAGCCCTGGAGGATCCAGCCTGAAAGGCAGCCTGCCTTATCTGACTTGAAACGCAGCTCCTTTAGTGAGAGCACCTTCCCCAGGCATTCACTGAAAACTGTCCGAGGCAACTTTTTGAATCCAGGGGCACTGATGGTCGGTTGTGCTGGGCTGAAGCCGTGACCGGCAGTGGGACAACAACAGGCCAACCACAGCCCGGGAGAGGAATCCGGGGAGTGTGGACTCCATTGGGAGCTGCAGAAAGCCCTGACTACCATCCTGGGGACCTCAAGGGTCACCAACGTGATCAGAAGGCCTGAGAAGGCCCTGAGCACCAACAGTGGCTGACCTGGAGGCTGTAGGTCAGCAGGAAGTGGAGCCCTCTGGCTGGAAACTGGCTGGCCGGACACCCACTTGTAGCCCTTGGCAAAGACGGTAAGGCTATGTTTCCAGGCAACCAGGAACTTTCTGTCCAGTCATTAGCTGACCACTAGCCAACCAAGCAGAGCCTTCAGTATCCGCACACCACAAAGGATACAGATTTTGCAGAAGTTGTAAAAACAAAAAAATCAAATAATCACTACAATAAAAGCAGCAATAACAATAAGCCTGAGGAGGGAGGAGAGCCTGAATTTCAGAATTGTTGTGTAATATTACTTTAAATATCCAGTTGTCAACAACAACAGAAACCATGGAACACGCAAAGAAATAGTAAGGTATGCTCATACACATGAGAAATGCCATCTATGGTACCTGAGGAAACCGAGGCATTGGGCTTACTAGATGAATACTTTAAGCCCACTATTTAAAATATACTC